GAGCTGTCTCGGCACGGGGGGTGGCGTCGAGTAGCCCACCGGCGTGCTGGGACCTTCCGTCAGCCCCTGCATAGAGTTTATGGGGGCGCTGGGAAAGGGTCTGGTGCCACCGGTGCCACTGCCGCCCCCGCTGCCGCTGTTGGCCATGCCCACGGGGGAGTGCATGGTGGGCATGGTGGGCGAGAAGGGATTGCTGGGCACTCTGGGTCTGGGCACCAGCCCTGGGCTGACCCGATGCCTCGGAGACATGAACTGCGGTGGGGTAATCCCTGGACTATTCATGGGGGAGCTACTGAGGTTCAAAGTGTGGTTACTGTTCTGGGGACCGGCTTGTCCCTGGCTTAAGGCAACGTTGGCTCCTATCTGGTTCCCAGGTGAACATCCAAAACCGGTTTGGCTGCTGGAGTTGTGGAGGCCGGCGCCTGGCTGCTGGTTCACGTTGGTGGCCAACATGCTGCCGTTGGAGGGAGGGATGGAGGGTGGCAGGGCCATGCCTTGCCCCGGGGAGATGCTGGGGTTCAGCGAGGGGCTGACCCGGGGAAGGGACATCGCGGAGTTAGTGTTCTCCTGGGGTGAGAGCATGCCGTGATCCCTGCGGGAGATGAAAAGGAGAGGAAAAGTCACAAGAGGCTTTGCCCAAACCTTTAGTGTCACTCAGGCAGTTCCTGCCCCCCATCCATGCTGCAGAGCTCTGAAGCCTGGAGAGCAGCATGGGGTGGTCTCGCAAGCCCTGGTGGTCTCAGCCTTCCCATCTCCACCAGAGTTTCTGGATCCATTTTAGTAGCATGGATGGAATGCACCAGCTTTAGTATCTCCCCAGAAATGCGACGCTGCTCGGGATCACGGCCGCTCACTGGCTAAACCCCGAAGGCATCACCTTCTCCGGGTCCTACGTTCCCACATGGCTGGAGAAGGACCGTGCTCTGACAGCATTCCCCTCCACCCAGCCCCCTAGCATTTCTCCAGCACAGCCCAGGTCCACAGCCTCACCTTTTCCTGTCCTGCCAGTTTGTCAGAGCCTCTCCCTCCCCAAATATTTTAAGTTCTCCAGGGCAAGGCAGAAATCTGAAGCACGTCTATAAACCTCCACCTGAACTCCCGGGGCCACCTCTTTGCAAAACAAGAATAATCAAGAGCAATAGAGCTGCCGTCCTGCTGGTTTTCAGCCTCAGATTCCTCATGGGGATCACACCTCCAAACCAGCATCATAGAGCACCAGTGGATCCTCCTCCCACTGTAGGGAACGGGCACTTTGATTCTTGGATCGCCCACCCAGGCCTCGGTAGCGGCGGGGTGAGGACGTACCTGTCAATGACGTGGATGCCCATGATGAAGGGCTGCATCTCCGGGCTGGAGGGGTAGCAGAGCTTACACTTGGTGTGGGCACTAAGCACTGTCCCGTCACTCAAGGTGAATCGATAGGAGGGGCTGAAGGCCGTGCCACGTGTCATCACTGAAGGAGACAACCAGAAACACAAGAACCCCCCTTAGAAACTCAAGCCAGAACCCACAACACCCTACAAGCACCAGGAGGAGAATGGAAAGAGCAGAGGAGAGGGAGAACCTGCCTGGGACAACCACCTTCCCAGCAAACAAAACCACACGCTGCTTGTTGGCTAACCCCACAGACCCAGAAAATAAGAGGGTTATGAATAACCATGGTGGCACAGAACTCCTCCCAGCTGCTTCTCCAGCTCCAAACCTGTGTCCTGCAGTGGGTAAATCTAAATCTATCCAGCACTGTCCTTGAGCGCTCAGAGCTTCTGAAGGGCCAATCACTCAATCACCAGCGTACAAGCTGATGAACCCCAGGTTCATCAACCTGATGAACCAGGCTGGGAAGGTGCAGCAGGACACTGCCGCTGCAACCCTGGCAGAATTACAGCTCTCGGGAGGCTCAGCGACCTCCTGCTCCTACGTTCTGCCTTCCCCACATCCCTGTCGTGAGCATCCTTGCCGACACAGAAAAGATGTTCATCAAAGAGCCAACTCAGCAAAGATGCTCATGAAAGAGTCAACAGAGCAAAGATGCTCAGGAAAGAGCTTCCACTTCTTCTGCTTAGACGCTGGGGATGGCGTTTGCAGATGGCGCAGGAAAAAAAAATCAAAATAATCATATTTAGCTCTTATTTGTCTCAATTCTATATTTCCTGCAGGCTGAGAGGGAATCTCCTGGCTGGAGGAGCTCCTCCAGCATTACTCAGCCCTTTCCCCTCTCCCTTTGCCACCTTGTGATTATTATTGCAGCATTTATTTTTCCAGAAAGCATTTATCCAGCAAGGAGGACCGTGCTCCGGCTTCTCCTTGCAGCTCCCGCTGCTCGGCAGGAGAGCGCACCAGCCGGGAAGAGGAGCCCGTTACCTTCTTGAAAGAGCTGTTTGGCGTAAGATGGCTCTCTGCCCTGAGGCTGGAAGAAAGCGTAGATGCATTTCCGCACCAAATCCTCCCAGCCCGTCCTGCCGGCGGCTCTCAGGGAACTGGTGTCAATGGAGATGATTTTACCTGGGCGGAGAGAAGCCTCGTTACTCAAGCACAGCATGAGAAGTCCCTCAGCACAAACAGGGCAATAAATATGGAAAATTAAGCCACCTCCTATTTGGCGTCAGGCAGCAGTGGCAGGAGCGCACAAGGATGTCCTCCAGAAGGAGGCGGAGGTTCAAGGAGTTTGCTCTGGAGCGTGCCCTGACCCCTACGCACACCCTGGCCAGCTGAAGCGGACACAAAACCCAACAAGAAGCACCTTCGTGCGAAGGGACCCTCACCGCTCCAGGGCTGGGGTCCCCAGCTTCACACCCTCACCTGGTGGGACACCCTGCCAGCCACCTTGCCCACACCCAAGGGTCCTCCAAGCAGGACCTGCCGCCTGCTTTCTCCTTTGACATGAAACACCAGGCAGCTTTGCCGGCTGTTTTACAGCCATGGGCAGGGAGCAGCAAGCAGAGAAAACATTCATTAAGGATTTTCAGGCTGCCAGGAAGTCCAGGGTGATGATTAACTACCAGAAAGAAGGTCATCAGAATGGCTAGAAAGCACTATTTGGCCAAGAGCAAACCCAAATCTGAAAGGTGACGACTGTTTCATTCCCATCAATCAGCAACCTCAACAGCCCCCGAAATCCAACGGAGCAGAGAGGGGCTGCGTGCAGGGCATGGGTCTGGTGTACTGGATCAGTTGAGGTGTAAACTCAAGTTGAGGTGCCTCCAGCTGAGGTGTCAACCACGTGGGTCCTAGCAGGCAGCGCTGCCATTTGCAAAGGACAGGACCATGCTCATGCTATGAGGTCCTGCACTGCACCACTGGCCTCTGCCAGCCAGTGAACAACAACTCCTCCAGAGCCAGGACTCCCCGGCATCGCTGGGACGGTACCTGTGGTGTCTTGCTTGGTCACAAAGGATTCAGAAGGGGTGACGGCTGCTGGTCGAGGTAATCGTCTCGCAATGCATATCAGACACGACTGGAAATCTGCCAAAGCAGGAGAAGGAGAAGGGACCGGGAACATGAAAATCAGACGTTACAACCACCACTTGCAATTAAAAATTTTAATTAAAATACAACTGCTGGGCTTGATTGCCACGTCCTGCCCTGGAAGCATTTACCCCGAGCAATCCTCCAGCCCTTCAAAGCAAGTAGGCTCTTTCTAAACTCTATAAAGTTTGCTGGAAAAGAGGTTTCCAGTGCTTGGAGAAATTAATTGTAAAGGCTTTTCGGATCTGGCAGCATCGTACAATAAAAGTTAGCACTAAAAGCCAGCAACTGTCGGCTTCAGGCAAAGTATTTGGTCATAAAATACCATAATTTATTCCTTCCAGTCATGATCTCCTGTGTAAACCACAATGGATTAATCCAGCTAATGCCCTGGAAAATAATAGCTGGGACACCGAAAGGAGAGTTAAGGCACTTGCAGGAAAGCAACGGCCCCCATGGCGCCTAGGGAACCCTTGCCTGTCCCACGTCCCTGGGCAGAGATCTGCCTGCAGGCAGCTGATTCAGCCCAAAAACGTGCGGGCAGCACCGTGGTCTGGCAGCAGTGAAGGCACAAGGTGGGGTGTCGGGCACCCACGTCACTTGTCAGGAAGGTCCTGCAGACAATGGGCTTTGGTAGGTAATAAAATATTGCTCCTTCCTTAAGGAATACCGACTGCAAGCAGCTCCGGAGGCAGCTGGGGCGGGCCAGGGAAGCTGGGATGGCTGGAGGGCATCGGTTCAGGGGGAAGGGGGAGCAAGAAGCCAGCAGCGAAACTGAGGCATCTCCCCTGGGCTCTCCCTCGTGCCAGGCATCGTCTGTGCCAGGCCAGGAATAACCAGCGCCCCCAGGCAGCGCTGCGGGGTGGTGGCTGGTCTGCCTGCTGCCTGCACTGCCATCTCCACCCCAGTCCTCCTCCTGCCTGCACTGCTGTCCCTACCCTGGTCCTCCTGCCCGCATTGCCGTCCCTACCCTGTCCTCCTCCTGCCTGCACTGCCATCCCCATCCCAGTCCTCCCCCTGCCTGCACTGCCATCCCCACCCTGGTCCTCCTGCCTGCACAGCCATCCCCATCCCAGCCCTCCTCCTGCCTGCACTGCCACCCCCACCCCGCTCCTCTTCCTGCCTGCCCTGCCCGAACGCAGGGTCAGAAGCAGAGGATGCTCTCCCCTACCTTCTCCTTCCTCCTTGAAGGACTTGGGCTGGGAGACGGTGAAGCACTGCATCACTTCGTAGCGCTGACGAGCCTCCTGGTTCTCCGCGCCCGGCTCGTCAGGCGGCCGGATCAGCATCCTGCAGCTGAAGGTATGGCTGTTGCGCCTGGTTGCTTCTTGAGGCCAAGGAACTCCATTTACTGGGGGATGGAGAAAGGAGGAGAAGAGGGATTGTTGGGAGCTGTGCTGTGCACACATCCCAAGGACCCCTTGGATAAGGGGGCAAAAGGAAAAGCAGCGGCATGGGGGAAGAAACCAGCTCACTGACCAGGTCAGGGGCGAGCTGAGAGCAAAAGCTGGGGGCAAAGCCCCCCCCGCCAGCCCCCGGGGCTCCTTCAGACCTGCTGAAGACCCCATGCCCAGACCCACGCTGCCAGCCAGGCCATAAGAGCACCTACAACCCCAACTGAGATCAGCACGCCATCGTGAGAGTCAGTGCGCTGACATTTACGAATTGCTCCTTACATTGCCGGTAGGTCCTATCATCTCCATCTTATGGGCAGGGAAACTGAGGCATGGGGTCTCTGAGTCACTTCCAGAGCTTGGGAGGGCTCCTGCCTCTTGCTGTGGCACTTGAAATCTCCCTGAAGCGACGCTCCCGGGACTTCTCCAGCAAGTCCAGCTGAGCATCTCCATAGAAATGAATTTTTTCTTTGCTTCCTCCCCATTTCTGGGGTAAGTCAGCAGCGAGATCTTCTGGTACTGCAGCAGCAAAAACCTTCTTTGGTTTTTTTCCATAATCTGGCTTTTTTCCAAAAACGTCTGGGCAGCAGTTGAAAGATTTTGCTAACCCTCTACAACCTCTTCGTGGATATCCGTATTCAACCCAAGTGATTCTGCCACCAGCAGATCATCAAGCTTTCATGCAACCTGATGTACAAGAAGAGCTGAGGGGCTTTAACATCCAAGGACAGACAAAATACACAGCCTTAAACTGGGTAACCACAGGGAAAAGATGATGCCTGAGCCTCTGTGGGCTCAATCTCATGAGTGCCCATAGATTTAGGTGGTTTAAGACATCATTGTATTTACCCAGAAGGAAGACAAGTGTGCATTTCAAAAAAACCCCTATTTTTAAGTCAAGCTACTTAGAAAAGGCTCATCTTCTCTTGTGCTTCTTCAAAGGTGTGAGGGATCAGTGATGTCTCACCCACGTCAGCCACCCAGAGGATGCTCGTCTCCAGTCAACGACTAAAACCTTCTGCTTCGGTTGCCTCCAACACCCGGCAAGTGCATTCATCACACGGCGCTGCCTCCCACCCTCGCAACTGTTTGTTTTCCCCGGTGTAGGGGACCACCGTGAGCTCACCGCTTGCACCGTGACCTCTTCTCACACCCCAAGGTGCAGCACATCCCCATGCTAGATACTCGGGCTCTGAAACCAGCTGGGGACAACCCCTCACCAGCTGGGAGGACATCCTAAATGAACTGGGACAAATGAACGGGCTCAGTCCCCCAAGTCAGCACCTTGAAATCCTCCTCCTCATTTCCCTAAAGCTCCTACGTGTGCCCCTCACTTCGGGCAGACGAGTCGGTTCTTCCCATTCACAAGCCAAAGTCGAAGGCAAAAGTTTTCTTAACAGAGAAAGACAAAGGGAAGGTGACTTGAATATTGTCATCCACCAGCTGTTTATTCAAAAATCTAATATTGATGTCTCACTGGTAGGATGTATGTCACTAGGTAAAGGTTTACGGATTATTACCTGGCTTGGGTATATCTCTGAATTTCACAGTAAACAGTACAAAAAATAATAATATATATAAATAATAGATATAAAAAACAATATAAGGCCAGCATCACTGAAGGTGCAACGGCATTTTCGACAGTGCTCTCCAAGCACCAGCTGATAAAAATCCCCACCTCAAGGGTTTTCTTACCTAGAGACTTCGGCAACAAGTTCTTGACGAACTCAGCGTGATCCCCCACGTGCAGGATGCTGTAGACACTGGTGTTCATGAGCTCCTCCTGGTTATAACCCAGGTAGCTGGTCACGTTCTCAGAGACGAAGACGATCCTCCCTTCGCGGTTCACAACGAAGAAGAAGCCGTCCAATGCCTGTAAGGGGAATAAACCCGGGCAGCGTGCGGGCAGTGGTGAGGATGCTCCACGACCATGGGCAACCTTCCTCTGCCTCTTGCACCTTGGCTTCATCCCCACTCTATATTATAGCAGTGATCAAATAACAGCACCTGGGCTTAAACACACAGAATCACAGAATGGTTTGGGTGGGAAGGGACCTCTAAAGGTCATCCAGTCCAACCCCCCTGCCGTGGGCAGGGACATCTTCAACTAGAGCAGGTTGCTCAGAGCCCCGTCCAGCCTGACCTGGAATGTTTCCAGGGATGGGGCATCCACCACCTCTCTGGGCAACCTGGGCCAGTGTCTCACCACCCTCAGCGTAAACAATTTCTTCCTTAGATCTAGTCTGAATCTCCCCTCTTTCAGTTTAAAGCCATTCCCCCTTGTCCTGTCGCTACAGGCCCTGCTAAAATGTCTGTCCCCATCTTTCTTATAAGCCCTCTTTAAGTATTGAAAGGCTGCAATAAGGTCTCCC